ATTGCAGAGTTCGGGGCTACAACAGAAAGAAGAAATAGTGAAGAAGTGACAGTTGACTTTGAGGTGTGTGTGTGTGTTCTTCACCCTCTGGGTTTAACACTCATAACGTCTGTGGGAGTCATCCTCCCACAGGAAGAAGAAACAAACACTGGTGATCTACTCATCTAACCCGGCAGCAACATATAAAGGCATTGAGGGAAAATACTCGGTCAATTCACTGACAGGCCGACTCTTCTCCCTCCTGCTGTTTCGAATAGATACGCACGATGGTATTATACAGTCTTCCTAATTGGAAGTAAAGGATGTGAGCTGAATCCCCTTTAAAGGCAATTAAAAATAATTAGACATCTGTGAAACAGAGTGAATAGCGACAGAGGTATCGTGCCACGGGCAAACAATAATTAAGAAAAGAGTTTGGTGCTTATTTGTCATCATTGTCATCTGCCACCAAAATAGCTCATTTACCCCATTAATTGAATTACTTGATCTGTGAGAAACATTAGTGACGCATATCAAATACAGTATGTTGCTGCAGTTGTTGACTTCTCTTTTCTGAAGAGAATATTTTATATTTTCATAAACATGCAGCAACAGTTTTGGCCTGCTCTGTGGCAGCACCTGGTACCTTAATAACTGATCTATTTCATCAAGTTACAAGAAATAACACACTGATTCCACAATACTCAGATAAACTCATCAGAAGTTGGATCTAAACTGGCATTTCAATGTATTCTTATATTATATTTATATTATTATTTAGAGATAATACATCATTGTTCTAAGATATGGATCACAATGAACTTATTTCCAGCTGTTGAAGTGTTTTTTAGTCATCAGAGCAGCTTTATCATATCTTTGCTTCAGATTTTACCACAAGTATAAATTGCCAAATGAAACAACGTGGCTTTTATCACAGTCGATCTGGTTTCCATGGCAATTGCATTATGGTTTGATCAACAAATGCTTTTTTATTTTAAGAGAGCACGTTGTTTGAAACAAAATGAAGAAATGAAAATTCATAGTATTGTCATTTGTCCGTGTCATATTGACATTTGTCATAAGAGCATTCCGGTCGTGTCACTGACATGTCAGCATCAACGAGGAGCCTCCCCACAGTGCGCCCCCCCCCCCCCCCCGGGCTGTCTGAAAGGATGAGGCTTTCCCTGACACCACTTGAATGCCATCATGGGCTCTTCAGGGGAAAGTGTGACAGTAAAGCAGGGAAGAAAGTGCATTAAAAAAAGACTCTCCGTTGGACCTATTGTGGGGAGTAAACAAGTAGCGGAGCGTGACCCACTTTGTTTTCCACACAGAAGCTGGACGTGATGGCCGCCCCCAATGGCACAGAACATCTTTTTGAACTATGCAAAACACGAACGCCATAAATCATCTCACACCGCTCTCTATTAAAATGTATGTAAGATATTAAGAACAGATCATAACATCATAACTATCATCATTTTTCTCCTCTTTAATAGAGAATACATTCAATTCCCCAAAATGCTAAACTATTTGTTTAATTGGTTGATAGAATTCATTGAACCCCTGTCTGTATTAAATGGGCTACTAATTTTTGTCCAGCTCGATTGAGTAGTTCAAGTCACATTTCTTTGCATTAGAAGGAAATATTAATACTTAATTTTATTTTTTACTTTACTTTATTCACCAATTTACTTCCTTGAGTTCTTCTTTTGAGTTTGAGTTTAGCAATAATCTTTCACATATGTTAAAGTCCTGTGGGTGTGTGAGTTGGCTCACCTTTGCAGCCTATTCTTCAGAATCACAGTTGGTATATAAAATGTATAAAAGGCCTTTGATTTTTGAACTTGCAAGAATGTCACATCCTCCGTCTGGCGGCCTCTCATCCTTAATATCTGTGCCCATCCTAATTTATGGAGCTTCCCTTCAAGACATATCCCTTCCCTCAGAGGAGCTAATTGCCAGAAATGGTTTAAGATGCACGTCAAGGATTGGTTTATTACTTCCACACGGCTTAATGTCACAGTCTGCATTTGCGTTCTCAGCTGAGTGAGTCACAAATTATATTGTTCCTGATCTGAAATAATGAGCCACTATTAGTCTTCATGGAACCATTATGCCGTAAAACATTGTAGCATACAGCGGCAATAGTTATTGTTATTATAATATATATATATATATATATATATATATATATATATATATATATATATATATATATATATATATATATATATATATATATTATACATATAAAATAATATTAGTTCATATTTTACATGCTCAGATATTTTACCCATATTCACGTTAACCGTATTCTATTTGGGATATTATCCATAAAGTCAGAGGTCCTATAAGATGCTTGTATGCTCACTATCATACGGTTAATTCTTTTTAGGATTCCAAAATCAATACATAAAATAAACATGAAAACACAAAGCCAAAACAATGGGAGAACAAATGTTTATACAATGGTGGCTATTTTCAATAATAGCTAACTATAATGTTTCAATGTTTTTACGTAGCAACAGGAATGCTGTGTACTCGATATACACTTTACCAAACATTAAAATCATAGTTACTTAAACACTAACTTCAACTTCCTTCTTCTCACTCTAAACAAAAAGACAAACGGCTGCTCATTGTATAAAAGTTAAATTGCATTTAAAGAGCATGAAGAAGGGAGTGTAGTTGTGCACGAGCAATTCAGAATGAATCCACCACACCGACCACGGAACTTGGTTTGCAGCTGCTCTTTCCCACCTTAGAGTTCATATTAATGAGCAGATACAAATAATTAGCTCTGAAGGAGCTGCACGGATGTTAGTCAGAGGTCATGGCTGTGGGTGGTTGAATATATCTATGTATATGCGAATGGTTGGGAGGGCGTACCCTTTACTTTGACAGGTTACAAGAAAGGTCTTTAGGTCCACTGTACAGAAACACGTCACAGCAAAGTCACTGTGATAGGAGAGCAGACCAAGGAAAGACATAAGCAAAGAAGAAAAAAGCCGATCAAGAATATTGTTCTTGTATAACACAACGTCAGCACTGTTGCGCTGTGTTGTTGTGTTCAGGGACGGAATAAAACTTTCTTAGCATCTGAAAAAAAGACCAGTAGACAAACACAATTCACTGGAAGGAAAGATTATCCGCCTCAGAAGAATATCAACAGCAAAACATCGACTACAACAAAGACTGAAACAAATATTTATCTTGTGAGTCATTATTGTTTGCATAATATTGTGATCATCACATCGCGATCACGTCACCAATAAGGAGGTGAGAGGCAGAAACATTTGACAGGCTCAGATAACTAAGGCACTAAGACTCCTGCCTTTGTCCTCTTGCTATAGAGAAACACTCTCATTCTCTCAAACACAAACACCATAATGAAAATATGTTTTTATGCATTTTACTGCCGAGAGGGTCTGTGGACTCCAAATGCATTCGTAAAAACATGGTGTCTTTATTAAGCTTTTAAAAATCCCTTCCTGTGAAGCACATTTGATGGATCTTTTCATTTTCACATATTACTAAAGCAACACTGCTGCTGTTTATTTTGTGTTTGTGTGGAATACAGAGTATTAAAAGTTGTTGTGGTTTTGTGAGCGCCGTGTGATGTGTTGGGCTCAAACTTAACACTTGGGACGGAATATCGGCGGTAACATCAGAGCTTATTGTTTACTATAAATGTACCTTCTGTTTACATCATTGAAGCCCGGGAACTTAAAACCCACATGTTGGAATCCGCAGCCCGCAGGCGAACAAACCACCTCGGATTAAGTCAAATGTTAACCAATTAGCTATTGGCAAGGACGCCCTGACGCAGAATGTGTTGCTTTTCATAACAGGGATCCTCATGAATCCACTGGAAAATGTACAACCAAGGTTGAAAGTCTGCCTTAGAAGAATACTGAATACAAGAATACATTTTGCCTGCAGAAACACTGAGATATTTCAGAAGACAGAAAAACAGACCATCTCCAGTGCTCGAAATTTCCAAAACACATTTATATGTTGAAATAGAAGATATGGGTTGGATCTAAATGCCTTCTTGAGGTGACAGATTTTGGATGTGTAGTCTAAATAGCAAATGATCAAAGACCAAAAACTGTGCAACAATAGACTTAAATTCTTGTGCTTTGTACTTTTAGATTTTTCACACATTTGCTAAATCCTGACTTTGTTAGTGTACGTGTGTGATGCTGACCCAGAATACCTCTGTTAATTTGTTGATCTGTCACAGATAATTGGACCCCCCAACTCGTTGGGGGGTCCAAACCCCCTCAACCGTTTTTGTCCCATTTTTAACTCACATAATGAATGAATCATAATCACATGGAAACACAGAGCTGCAAACCTTGGACTATTGACTTGAAACTTTTGACTTTGCAAAAAATGTACAGAACCAAAATGGCCTTCAGAAGCTGTGTGTAGCTAATCATCAACTCATTTAATCCAGAGTTTGACTGGAGTAGAGCAAATAAATAAGGAAGATCAGGCACTTCTATTCATTTCTGTTCTAAATCTTTGAGGAATCTCTGCAATTGCACACAACTAATTTTAAATTATTTTAAGAGCTTGTTTCTTTTTGCAAAAACGTTAGACTGTGGAATATTTCTTTCATCTCTCCATCGGCCATGTTTTCATTTCTCTACAGGGATTATCATTGTCACTCACTTAATCAACAGAGAGCGGCAGACATTTAAACGACTCATTAACACATCACGTGGGTTATACACAACAACAAAAAATAGTGAAAATGCAGCGAGAATGACCTCTATTATGACCTATATTATTTTCGGAAATAAACTAACCAAAACAATGATTTGTGTTGACATGATTTGGAAATAGCGCCGTTATTGTGGAAAGAGTTGTTATTTCCGGATAGCCATGTGTATCTCACACCGACGTGACGTCGTTGGTCACAACCCCAGCGATTGGTCAGTTCAGCCATAAGGGCGGCCCTTCCCGTTCTTCCATTGGGTGCGCTGTTAAATCCCCTCTCCTGATTGGCCCGCAGCACCTCCCAGCCATTGGCTGAAAGGACGCAGCGACAGTTTGAAAATCGAGGCTCACGCTCTCGGAGTGAGAGCTGCTGTAAGAAAGAAAGGAAGAAAGACAACGATTAGGACGAATTCTATTGTTAGAACAAAGGTGAGAGCTGAACAAGACGTTTTCCAGCAACTTCATTTAAATGATCGTCTGCTCACAGAGTTGTGTTTCATTGTTGTATTGTGATCTAGCAGCATCGGCGGCTTGTGTTGATTAAATGATGCGCAGCTGTGGTGACGCCGCATCAAGCAGCGTACCGTGTGTCTTGCACAATGTTTAAAAGCTGCATCTAAAAAAATGCTCCGAGCAAACCGATTCACTGTAAATCAAATCTTTGCTCTGGCAGGAGGCTTCTGCCATGTTGGGAGAGGAGGACGGTGGAGCTCAGCTGCAGTGCTGCGCGACGGTGGAGCAGCTGAACACCTCCGGTCAGGCGACCCGCAGGCAGGTCATCCGAAAGGCCTCCGTTGTTCTGGGCCGCAACGAGTTCAACGAGATCATCCTGCGGGTCCACGACGGGAAAATCCCGCAAAATTACCGCCTCAAAGAATTCAAGCTTTTTACAAAGTTCGCCAGAGAAGGGAAGTGCACCGTCAAACTGCTCCCTGAAAACACCCAGGTACTCCTCTCCAACTGCCCCCCTGACCGCTTGAACCTCTTCCTCAAAACCCTGAGCATCAAACACCAGGCCCGGCTGAGCAGCAAGCCGATGACCGACCGAGAGAAGCTCAAAGCCGGTCTTCCCCGCAGCTTCGAGGCCATCAGCCCCCTGCAGCAAAAGGATATCCAGAAGATCAACGAGCTGAGGAGCAAAGTGGACCCCAAAGGGCTGGTAGACCGCACTAATCGGACGGTAGCAGGCACAGGACAGCAGGTCAAAAGGTCAAGATGTGACACCAACTTCAGCCCAGTGAGTGGAACATTCTCTTTCTCTCTCACACATAACTTTTGTGTTAATCTGGAGCAGACTATTTAATCCGTTGAATACTTGATTTGTTTCAGTCGAAGGGAAACCCCAGCAAAAAGCCCATCCTGTGTCTGCCCTCACGTAAGCTGAGTAAAGAACAGGCCGCTGTCCTCACTGCTGTGCTGAGCGGCAGGAACGTCTTCTTTACTGGAAGTGCAGGTCAGTTTAAAATAAAATTTTCACAAACTCATGCTTGATGATGCACTTTTGCATACTGTTATTTGCATTATTGGTGCTGCTATTTGGGAAGCTTGGCACTGTCATTATTTCCGCAAGAGAATCCGATGTGAATCTCTTATGAGCCATTGATGCCTCTTTTTTTGGGGGGGGGGGGGGGCAATTAACAATTAATAGTCCATTTTAAACTCATTTTTCAAATGTGTGTTTTTCAGGTACAGGAAAGTCCTTCTTATTGAAGAGAATCATGGGATCTCTTCCTCCAAAAAGCACATTTGCCACAGCCAGCACAGGAGTGGCTGCATCTCACATCGGAGGAACAACGTTACACAACTTTGCTGGTAAGTCGTGTCTCAGAGGAGATGAAATAGATTTTAAGAAAAACTTCATCTGTTCCTGTAAATCACTCCAAAGTGGTGAGATAGGCACATGTTTCATTGTTAAATTACTGTATACAATATGACATGTCATCTAAACCATTGGTAGATTTGCCGGTTTTAATAATGCTGTCCTGACTTGGGCTGTTACTAGCGATGGGCGTGAGGCTGAATCCTCATCAATATACAGATGAGAACATGATTAATCCTTATTTGAGATACAAACAAACATAAGCCAATCGCAATTCTTCGGCGCTTAATTGCCATCAAAAAGAAAGTAGAGTACAAAATGGAATGATGCTGAAAATCATTAAATCCTCACACCTGAAAATCTGGAACGGAGGACTGTTTGAAAAACGTCTGACTCAAATAACAGAAAAATGAACCCAACAACCTCTTGTGTTCACTCTGTAACAATGTCTGCGTTTTCAGAGTTATGAATCTTTAACATCACCAGAGGCCGTGTCTGGTGTCTCGCCACCTCAACGAAAGCCTTTTAATTAAATCTCAATATACAGTAGAGGGTTTGGGTTTTATCTTTTTTCTGACCATCTGTTTTCTCCCTCTTCTGGTGGCCTCTCCAGGTATTGGGTCCGGCTCCGCCCCCCTGGAGCAGTGCATCGAGCTGGCCCAGAGGCCCGGGGTGCTGCAGCACTGGACCAGCTGCAGACACCTCATCATCGATGAGGTCTCAATGGTGGACGCCCAGTTCTTTGACAAGCTGGAGTCTGTGGCAAGGTGAGACAACAGTCCATGAAACCGCTTTGTGCTGCTTCAGTGTATCATTATAGTAACGTGTTAATGTTACAGATGTTCTCTTTTGGAGCGCTTTAACATGTGTTTGGCTGTGTGCGTCATTGTTTATTGCAAAAGGTGGGTGTATATTAAATGAAATTCATTTGCATTTTTGAATCTGTATAATATTTTGTATTTTTTCTAAACTAAGAATGTGTCAATGCAAAATACTGATATTTTACATGCAACGCTTTAAATGGCATTTAATGGCATGTTTCAAAATACTGTTTATGTACTAATGATAGTGAGAGTCCTAACCACAGACTGACTGACGTGCCTCCTCTCACAGGTCGGTGAGGAGGTCAACTGAGCCGTTCGGGGGCATCCAGCTGATCGTATGTGGAGACTTCCTCCAGCTGCCTCCTGTTTCTAAGGGAAAGGAAAAGGCCAGCTTCTGCTTCCAGGTACGACCAGCGTATCAGAACTAGCCTTTTCCTTTGACATTGATCTAGTAAACCTGTGGCCAGAAGGACGGGACAAAAGCAGAAGTTGGATTTCATGTATGCAACAACACGAATATATAGTTTACATTTTATAGCATGACAATAAATCCTGCTTGAAAAAGGACAAAATAATGGTGCATTTATTAGAACTATCACTCAAGTTGTATGTATGTACCTTTTAAGGGGTTGATCCCAGTACCTGTGAGTCAGGGTTCAAAGTCATTGACATTTGTTCTATGCTGTTCCCATAAGCATCCTACACACTTTACTTACTTCCTCAAGGGCATTAATGGATGTTATTATAATTTCTATTATATGATAACTTTTACCCTCCTACAGGCCAGGAGTTGGCGTAAAGTCATCCAGGTCAACATTGAGCTAATGGAAGTGCGGCGTCAAACTGACCAGTCCTTCATCTCCCTCCTGCAGGCAGTGAGGGTGGGCAGGTGATGTAACAGGCAGTTTTTTTTTTTCTGTCTCTCTTATACAGCTAATGGGATTCCAGCGCACATTAATTACCACCAAATGTACAGTTTAATTTGTTTACATGCATAACCTGAAGGCCTTTACAGCATTAAAAAGCTCCTTCGGGCATATCATTTACCTAATGGGGAACTTGTCTTGATTAACACGCTCAGGGTGACTGAGGACGTCACCACTAAGCTGATGGACAGCGCGTACCATCTCATTGAGAGGGACGGCATCCTAGCGACCAGGTTGTGCACACACAAGGACGATGTGGATCTCACAAACGAGAACAAGCTCCAGCAGCTGCCAGGTCTGACGTAGTCCTTTTTTTTAAATTAGGTTTTCGTTTTCTTGAACAGGTGTTACTTTGTACGGCTCAAATCCAAGTGCAAATTGAACTTGTTGAAAATATAGCTGCTATTTTTTCACTCACAGCCAGACGCCAGTTATTTTCTGCCATGTTCATTTGTAGGAGATGACTGCAACAGGAAATTGGATGCAGTATGTTTTACACACTGAGGACCTAGCTTGAATTATTATTTATTTTTCCTTTTTTTTTTTTTTTAACACGTGTTTGGTTTCACAATCTGATGCCGTTTCCCCATTCATGAATTTGTCCTTGTACCTCAGGGTCAGCACGTGTCTTTGAAGCACTGGACAGCGACCCAGCACTGGTGAAGACCATAGACGCCCACAGCCCCGTCAGCAGACTGATCCAACTCAAAGTTGGGGCTCAGGTGAGCCTGTGTGTCTGCATGCCGCATTGGACCTTCATGTGTTTTGCCTTTTGCGCTCAGTTTGAGCAAAGACACTGTTTTGAAATGGGGGACTTGTTCTTTTTAAGGTCATGCTGACGAAGAACCTCGATGTCGCCCGAGGTCTGGTGAACGGAGCGCGAGGGGTTGTGTTGGCTTTTGAGTCTGGAAAACATGGTTGGTATTTGATTCATTATTAAACATAATGCATATTACGTATTCCCTCAGAAAATCCAAAATGTATTGATCTTCTCAGTATAACCGCGCATTCTCATCCCTGCGGGTACATGCCCTGTTTCCTAAGGACTCCCACGTGTGCATTTCCTCTGCGGTGCCACGGAGGTGCTGAAACCCGAGCGCTGGGTGTTTAAGTCTGGCGGTGGCATCCACCTGAGTCGACAACAGCTGCCGCTGAAACTGGCCTGGGCCATCTCCATCCACAAGAGCCAGGTGAGAAACTGTTCTCTCGCGGCCCCCGTGGTGATTTTAGCACGGCTCGTTTTTGTGTTTCTTTCTTGAGCGCTAACTTGCACAATGAATGTATCGGAGGAAAGGTTTCCTACTTTGTGTGTTTAAAAGTCACAAAGCTGGCAGAGAGAAACTCCGGCGAGGTGAGTGAGAACGGGAAGTGGTTAGAGGCTCCCGGTCAAACGCTGCGCAACCCAGTACACAACAAATAAGCTTTAGCTATGTGATCCCCATGACTCGTTTGCCTTGCCACCAGCTCGCACAAGAAACTGACCTGACTCAAGTTGGTTAGAGGCAAAGTTTCCTCTAGGTAATGGAAACCATTGCTCATGACCAAATGTAGAGCGGAGGCGCGAAACCACGAGGGGAAATAATGAGTAAAACTCAAACCTGGAGCCCTTCAGGGGGGAAAAAAAACATTAAATAAATACAATAACTGTTAATAGAGATGATGTTGCTTTTGAACCTTGTTTTTTTTGGTCACGTCTTATGTCAAATAATGGAATCTATTTCTTTATTTTAGGGCATGACACTAGACTGTGTGGAAATCTCTCTCGCTCGGGTGTTTGAGAGCGGTCAGGCTTACGTAGCCTTGTCTCGGGCTCGAAGCCTGGAAGGTCTGCGGGTGATGGACTTTGACCCCCGCGTGGTCAGAGCAGATCCAGACGTTCTAATCTTCTACAAGAAACTGAGGAAAGAGCGACTGCTGATGCAAGTGAGTGAGGAGCTTCTCCTGTCCAGACTTTTAAGTGTTGAACACTCTGCTTTCATGATATGCGGTGACAGTTCAACCATGTGTTGAGCATTGAATGCAAACAATTACTGTAGTCACAATGGTGACGCAGAATCAAGACACAATATAGCTGCAGATGTTCGCGTTTCAAAGATGCATTTTGTCAATCTCGTAAAATAACGTTCCGTGTCTGTCTGCAGGCCTCCATGGATGATTTTCTTGGCAACAGCAACAAAGAGAACCCTTGGTGAGGGTGAAATAATCTACTGTGACACTATGCACCGTGTGCATGAATAATGTTTTTTTCTTCTTTGGACAATTTAGCCTTCCTAAATGAAGGCAGCCGCATCGACAATTGCAGTCTACCTCATTGTAAATTCTGCAGCACTTAAAACTTACACTGCCACCATCTGGTCATTTGCTTTATTTAAGAGCTTATTTTAACGCATTTTTAACTGAATATCTTGATTATGTATTTTTTCTGTGAACTTCTCTCTACGTAGAGCATTAAATGTTGAGTTTTTTTTACACTGCCTTCTGTGACTTATTAGCATACCCAGCTGATGTGTTTAATGCGGAGTCTGACTTGTGGTAAAATGTAGGAGGCATCATTACACAAGTGTCCTGACACTGTATTGTCTTAAGACTGCATATTATCATATCACTGCAATGAGGGTATTCTCAAACGAGAGGTAATTTTTTTACTCACAAAAGAAATTTGGGAAATACTAGGCCAAAAAAGATAATTTCATTATCTCAACTAGGGCTGTCAACGAATATTCTATATTCGAAAAAAAGGGCAGTGTGAGTGTCTGCTTAGCGGGTCGCGAGTGCCTGACTATATATTGCACGAATAAAGTAGACCAGATAAGCTCCAGCAGCTTCATGCACTGCTTTAAATATTTTCCGTTTCATGCCAAGGAGTTTTTACATCAGTGTTTACATCACAGCTCGTTCGAAGTGTTCAATGTCTACTGTAAAACCTTCAGTTTCAATCACCGAATGAAGCCTGACATTTGGGACAAGAATCGCAACATTAAATTGCTTGCGCAAAACTCTTGATCAGCACTTGTTTGTTCATTTAACCTACTTTACGGGGAGCGCGAGCTCTGTAGTCGTGGCCATTAGTTTATTTTTGTGCAGGTAATAGGTACTTAATTACCGATACAAGTAGTTATGTCTCGTATTAATTTGTACGGTTATTGACGTGCCTAATGCGCAACTGAATATTCAAATATCTTTTGAGCAAGTGACAGTCCTACTCGACACACAAGAAAATGCAGCCCCTCTTGGGCTTTTTAAATTACAGAGTCAGGCCACCAGTTCCACAATGACGCCACTCAAACGCTGGATACCAGAGAATGTTTATTTTCTGGTTCAGGGCAATAAATCCAGAGCCTAACCTGAGTAGAAACACACATTGCCAGAGCAGCACGTTTGCTTTTGTATGTGAACTGACCAGTGACAATGATTTGAGTTCTCCTTTTCTCAACTTTGATTCCCTCATTACCTTCAAGTACTGCGTCATTCTACCAACTGCGTCATTCTACCAACTGCGTCATACCCTATCAGCACAACAATGCATAGTATACAGAAGTGGTTATGTATTTAGTCCAGGAACCTAAAATCATTATACATTAATACACAGGAAACCGGCAATCTAGATTATTTAACAATTTTTGGCAGAGCTTGAGCTGCAGGTGGAGCTGGCCAGGAAGGTTATTTCACGTTACTGAACAGCTTGTGTGAAACCTATGAAGAGAAAGCACATAATCAGCACGTTATTGGAGAAAAAAAAAAAACATACAAACCGAGCTCTTTGACAAATCAAGTCACATCTAGTCTGTTGTTGCCTACTATCTGGGCACATCAACCCTCAGTCTGCGCACTTACACAATGATCCCGTGCATGCAGAAAGTCAAAAAATTCTTCCGTGCATTCTTCAGCAGTGTTGGATTTGGAGCCAACTCTGGTTTCACAGGCCTCCAGCCGCTCCTTCGCGTGCACACAGTGTTCAGTCTGTTCACACTTTGATCGCAACGTTTCTAGAGGATCCTAAGAGGGACAAATGTTGAATATGGGAAATAAGTCAAAATATACTTAGGAATAATGTGAATATCATGATTCGTCAATGCCTACATTACTTTAACGTTGCTGTAGGTAAAGAATTCTAAATAGTAAAGTTTGTCATTTTATGTAGTACTTGAGTCAATTACTAGTCACTGGGGGAAAAAAATAGTGATGTATTGATGGCCAAAATACAGGATGTTCTACACGTTGCTTATTAACCTAAATATCACTTAATTCAAGGGCGGCCCCATGTAGCCCATTTCTGTCCTTAAAGAGATTTCCTTTATAGCATCCATTCTTTTACTGTTGCCAACTTTGTATTGGCAGGGGAGTTCTTCTCGTGTTAAACTGAAAGAATATTGAATCAGATTCATTAACAAACTTACCACCAGATCTTCTTCCTCCTCCTCCTCCTCTTCTTCCTCCTCAGCTGGTGCATCTTCCTGGTAGTCGAGGACATAACATTTGAAAGTGTACATGGTCTTTATTACAATTAACATCTACCCCAAAATACAATTAAAAATCAAACTCATATCTTAGATTCTCATACATAATTTAGCGTCGGCAGTGGAGGTCCGAATAACTGGCGCCACTAGTGTGGGAAGGAGAGGTACCATAGACCAATCATAGTAAAGCCGAGCAAGAAATCTCTAAAAACTATAACTCGGGTAAAGTTTATGTTATAAATTAAGCTCAGTAATTTTGTCCCCATCATTCATCTTCAAACGTCATTCGTTTCACCGAAGTGTCCAGAGTCGCCGCGTTAGGTAACTTAAGGGAAGCCAACGCATTGAAAAAGCGACAATACAAATACATGTATCGTTCTATTTTTCAGTACCTCGTCCTCGGGGTCGCCGTACGTGAGCATCTTTCGCTCAAAGCCCATAATTGCGACAGTGAAGATCTCCAAAAGATCCCAGCAGAGGACAGATAGCTCAAAAACTACACCGTGGATCGCTGAGGACGTGAGGTCGTTCAGGAGGAAGAAGCGAGGGGAAGGATAACCGGATGTTCTCATAGAACGCCTATTATTGGTTAAAGGGCGTCACTGAGGTTGCTCTAGTCCAATCAGGCTGCTCCTTCTTCTTCTTTGGTTTTTAATGTCAGTTGGAAAACATCCGACGGGTACGCTACCGCTGCCGCTAATCTAGAGTGTGGACTAAGGATAACCTCGCTAATACAACAAAGTGTCAAATCAATAAAATAACCGAATGAAAGGAAACGAATGAAATAAGAATACACGGTTAAAATTATTGACTGATGGTTTGTGTAAAATCACAATCACGGCTAGCGGAACCTTTATTATAGTGATCGTCGCAATGACGGACCAAAAAAAAGGTTGTACGGAAAGATGGCGCTGTTCATGGACACAAGATTATTACTGAGAAAAGTGAAAGATTTAAGATTTTTCACGCCAAGACGAAACCGAGTAAAGACAAAATGGGTATGTTATCAAGGGAGTAATAGACTAAGTGTGTTTCAAAGTGTGTAACAGTCGAATCGGTTTCGAATCAGAGGTTAACGTTAATTTATTTCCGGTTTGGTTCTGTCTGGAATGTCCAAATCGAAACATGCACGATTTGAAATATATAAAATACATTTAGCATTAACTATCGGTATCTATATCATGGTTAATTTAATGGAATAGAGCTGGGGAAAAAACGTTAAACCTTTGATACTAAAAAGTTGAAATATCTTTAAATATTAACATAACGTTGCATCTGTAGCTTCTATATCTATATCCTATAATTACATTTTTATAAAAATATATAACATTGTACAGTAAGATAGCATTTAAACATGGTCATGGTAGTTAGCAATTATGCACATTTAACCAAACTAATGGAAACTTTCCAAATAAAACGTCAAAGCAAGTAAACCTTTCAAATCAGTATTTTGACCTTTTGACCTGCTTTTGGACAGGCTGCCACACCTACCAAGCACCCTCCCACCAGTCTGTCTCTGCAGCACTTTGATGCCACTTACAGCGTCCAGCTGGGGCAGTTGTGGCCATCGGTCCGAGCCGCTATGCTGTCAGAGAGGAAGTACGGAGCCCTGCTCAATAACTTTTCCCATGATGCTATTCTGGCAGAATTGGAAGCCCAGGGATGTAGAAACCTCCTAAGTGATACAGATACAAAAGGTAGGTGTGCATTATCCAAGGCTCATTCTGCTTTTCAATCAAGCATCGCATGCAGACGTGTCCAATGTCTAGGCTGCATCTTATTTGGGTCGTTTTTAATATAAACATCCACATTTTTAAATGGGATCTTTAGTTTTAATTCAATAAAAAACATCTCAGATTGCCACAATGTATGAAATATGAAAAATAAGTATTGTTGACTGCTAAAAGCTTTTTGAAAAGCACAATATCCCCTCCTTTATATGATACATTTTGCATTCGTCATTGTTTTTGCAGCTCATCTATGTTTGGAACAAGAATCTGAGGTTGTGGCCGGTGTGGAATACAGTGGTGTTTCCATATCAAAGACATCGGACATCGATGGTCACAAGCTATCGGCCCTACACCTCAGTCCTCACATCAAGTGCTTCGTGTTTCCAAGAGGAGATATCACAAGATTCAAACCCGCTAGGTGAGTATGTCTGTTTTGTTTTTTTAGTTTTAGTAAATATTCAATTTCAAAATGTTTTATCAAGCCCAAGTGGTTGAACATTAAGAAAACTGTGATCGCTTCCAGGTGACACAAAACTATTTGCAATTAAGAACCACATTTTAATTCTTTACTCTGTATATTTCATTTCTTGTCCTTTGTCCTGTAAAGACCAGACGTTTGTGGGTTGTTGGGTTACTATCTGATGGACGCAGCATCAGTGCTGCCTTGTCTCGCACTGGATGTCCGAGAAGGTCACAATGTGCTTGACCTCTGTGCTGCTCCAGGAGGCAAGACCCTGGCTTTACTTCAGACCCAGTCTGTTGGTAAGAAGAATGCTCACATCTTTTTGTTTTCCTCACTCAGTGCTGTTCTGGTGTTTTTGTTAACACTCAATCAACTCCTTTTTCAAAGGTTTTTTGTGCTTAAATGACGCCTCAGTGTCTCGGACATTACGACTGAGAAGAGTCCTCAACAGCTACATTCCTAAGTCGCTTTTAACTGACCAGAATCTACGCATCACCTCCTTTGACGGCACCAAGTGGGGGGATTTCGAAAGAAACACTTTTGACAGAGTAAGCTATTTTCTTTCTAATCAAAGGGCCAGTGAGTGAAATAACGCTGTATTTATCCAAATACCACCACTTTTCTATTTGGTCTTCAGGTCCTTGTTGACGTCCCCTGCACCACAGACCGACATTCACTGACGGAGGATGAAAATAATATATTCAGTAAGAGCAGGACCAGTGAGAGAAGACGACTCCCGCAGCTGCAGCTGGAGCTACTGATGTAAATTTGGTGAAATTATTCGGTGGTTGTACTTATGAGATTTTTGACACTTTGTCACGCGGTAAAGCCATGACCTGATTACTTTTTATGAAGAGAACAAACCCTTTCACCTCTCTACAGGGCGGGAATCGCAGCTGCTTGTCCAGGTGGGGAAATTCTTTACTCCACCTGCACACTTTCTCAAATCCAGAACCAGAGTGTGGTAGAACAGGCCGTCTACGTGGCTCGAGAGAACCACGGCATCAATCTTCAGGTCAGTCTCACACACACACACACACACACACACACAGTTTCACCATCAATAAGAAAGTGTACACTAGAGAGTGACACAACTCAATAATTTCGGAAGATAAACTCATCATCATCATCATTAAGCTTCTGAACTCTAGAATATCAGGAATTCCACATTATGAGCACAGTAACCTAATTACAAATAATAACTTCACCTTTTTGTTTTCCCTTTTCCCCCCATTGGTCCTGATCGTATCTACATTCAGGTTGTTGATCTGCGACCCCTCACGCACATGCTCAGGAAAACATTTCACTTTGCTCCTGACCTCCACCTCGGTGAGATGGTCATCCCCCACTTAGCAGCAAACTTTGGCCCCATCTACATGTGCAAGTTGAGGAGGCTCTCCTAGACCGCGAGAGCTTTGCCTAAAAGCTTGTGGACTTGTGTTACGGTTTTATGGACAAAGGTTGATGGAGGAAAATTGACAGAACATCTTTCATCATGCTGGTGGACTTTTGAAACATTAGACACTAGACAACGGTGTGGTAAATGTGACAAAACCATGATATTATCATTGGGTTGTGCATTGAACGGCAGTGTTCTATGGAACCTTTTGTTCTCAAACAGCAGGAACATTTAATTCAATTTATGGGAGTCTTTTAGTTAAGTTAAAACTCAAGTTTTTGAGTCAGCCAGCTTTGCAATGTGTCTTTTTAATTCTAGCTTCACTTTTTCACCTGTAGGTGGCAACAGCAGCTCAAGATTAAAACTATCCTGTGCACGCTGGAATACCTTAAAGGTCTGTTAAGGTTATATGTTGACAAAAGATCCAGCATGCATATCCTTAGACTTCTCATTATCGAAACACATATTTGCATCAGAATTACCTGCTCTCTTTGAGCCCCAAATGAAAACGCTATTGGCTTGTTCCATGGTTATTCATCAGGTCTGATGGCTTTGTCTGATAATACGTTATGTGGGTGTATGGAAGAAGGGCATAATGAACACGCAGGTAATGACTTGTTTGACCATTTGGTTTCAAATATCTGAATCTTCCAAACTTTCATTATTTTATCTGGATTGACTCTGCTTTGCATTGACATTACTCAGAGTTGAAATGTTTCCTCTTATCACTGCCTAATGTGAGCAGAGAGGTGCCTCTCTTTCCATCACACCACCGATGACCCTTTATGTGATCCTGGCCAGGCAATGTAGCGTGAAAAGGGTGCGCGTGTGTGTGTCTGTGTCTGTGTCTAACGAGTCCACCATCCACACCCCTCTGTCATTAAGCTGCTCCAAGTGCAGGAGCCGACTCCCATCCCCGTGCAGGGATGGACGGCAGCCATGCGGCTCCCCAGATGAACATTAAAGAGGCAGCAGAGAGCTAAAATGGGACATTTCGCCCTGTTTTGCCCCTTTGCTGTTCTGTTCCACAGATGAGTGCAGATAATTTTCTGTGCGATTGTGAGTGATTACTGTATTACTGTGGTAAAAGGGGGATGTATCTGGGAATGCGGAGGGAATTAATGACACATAAAAACTCTTTTTGTGTTGACTGCTTTCGTCTCCAGGGCCTTGAATGCCTCCTCGCGCATCTTGTGATTACCTAAACGTATTGTAAATATGTGTTTCCTATGCGCTCTTACATAAATTTACATGTTTTAGCACTCTGGAGACGGCAGACTGTTAGAGATGAGTTACTCTCTATTCTGCCTATAGACTTGACTCGCTGCCTCCTCTTATTATTGAATAAGCCAATGAACCATTCTGAATTTGTGTCCCTGTGTGTAAGCCTGTGTTAGGGAAACATATTCTTTGTATTAAAAAGATGAACATTATGGATTTAACTACGCAGCCTGTGCTCCTGTTGTGTTTTCAAATACAATTTTCCCCGTGGCTTTTTTGGTAATAACACTGTAATAGCGCTATAAAGTCACCTCGTACCACAAGCTTCCACTGAATGAAGGATCGTGTACCCGCTGGTAACGGCCTCCATGTATTAAAACAGAGCTACTGCACAGCATGTTGTCCGATGACAGCAGGAGAAGAGCAACTGCAACTTCAACCTCCCTGGTTTGTCTGAACGAGTTAATTACTTTCCACAGTTGGAATTAAGGATTTTATTTTGTTTCCTCAGCAAAGACAATGTAAAGGTGAATATCTAAGTGTCTTTGTTGCAGTCCGACGTCAGACGTGGAGATCAGACGTGTGTCCCGGTTGCCGGTGGGAGAGGAGATCTTGCCGGTGGGGGTCTTTGTAGGTTGAGCCCAGCTGGACGATGCGGCCCTCCGCCACGGGGCAGATAGAAAATGCTATTCAGTCTTTTTCCCCCGATTTGTATTTGTTCTCTTTTTACCTAAACTGGCATCCTGTTGTCTTTTAGTGAAATGATTATTTGTATGACATTCAAGTGAGAATATTGCAGCACATCGAAAGACTTGAGGAAGTGCAGGTGACATTGAAGCCCACACATAGATTTGCAGAACTACAGGATCTCCTACTGTACTCCAAGGACATTTGTATGATGTCATCATCACTCTGGTACTTAATTTAGGTACTTTTGCCCAGAATGTATTTGCAATCATATTTAATGTTGTTAACTAGGACTTCTTTTAAATCATTGATACGTATCAACAATCTTTTTGACCTCCGTTTGTTTTGTTCTGAATTGTGGACAATGTTCAAAGCAAAGCAGAGCCTGTCAATTTGTCATATTTGTTGATATTCTCATTAAATCACCACCACAGCAATCAAAAAATAGGAATACTTGGCTTCATTCAGCCCGGCTGTAATGATCGGACCTACTTGCTTGTGTGTCTGTCTGCGACTCATGTTTGGTTACTGGAGTCTTTGCTTGAAGGCTGTCAGAACTAAATGTTTGTTTGTTTTATACTCCATTTTGATCATTTAGGTTACTCTTACTCCATTTAGGTTACTAGTTACTCCTTCTAATGACTTTTTCTGTCAACAGTTTGCTGTAAATTTGAGTGTTGTTTTTTTTTTTATTCGAACCAATCTGTTCTATTTAGTGACAAAGACCTGGGAAGATAAAGGGCATTCGATATTGTAGCCCCATGCTTTTATGTAACTTTTAAAGAACTCTTATGTACACACCTTTTGTTGCTAAAAGTGTCCTCTCATAACTTCAGGCATGTGGCCTTTTAAGGTACCTCAAACGAGCTCTGAATATGAGCCATGAACTCAATATGTGATCTGAGCGTTCCCCAATGGAGTCCGTCCTCCATGAACTGGCTGAGAACACTCCCGCTTGGCTCCGTGAAGCCCGCATTGGAAATGCAACCGTAGGTTTAGGCTGCAGCCAGATTAAGAAGAGAGAGAATGGGGGTTTTCTTCTCCCTAAGAAGATTATCCTGGGAGGGGCGAGATGGCAGTAAGAGTGTTTAAGAAAAAAAAGGACATGAAGAAAATGGAAGATGAAGTGGAACTAAAGGAGAGTGGCCAAGGATACACAGTTTAGCCACCTGTTGTCTGAAGCGTGATATCCCTCTTCTTGGAGTTTCTCTTTATAACCGTCTATCTCTGCCCTATCCGTTATTAAACATATCTTGATTAAATTCTGAGGTTAGAAGGTCAAAAAAAGGGCAAAGGAGTGTTGGCGTTCAACCCTCAAGCGTCATGGGTGAGTTTTATTATTTGAGCATTAAGTTCTCAAGCAGGTTTTTGCTTTTTTTTGCATGTAAATGTGCAGCTGTGAGCCTCATTGTATTGTGCGTCCCTCTCGCTTAAGTTGCTGCTGGTGGTTTCCTGGAGGGCTTTGATGTGTATCTGAGCAATGCACTATTAGAGGGATTTCCCGGGACCTGACAGTTTAGAGAATATGCAGTGAAATGGCAATGCCAGTGGGCTAAAAGAATGCTGGAAACAGGATTAGGATCATATTCTGGCAGATCCTGTCACCTCCTCAATGGGCCGAGGTTTCTAATGCTGCCACTTTTCATTCTCGCCATGGTTAAAACCTTTAAGAGAACCATGGAGAGGAGGGAGAAAAAGACCACTGATTGAATGGTACACTGTGATTTTTGTGTGGGACTTGCTCCGAGGGGGCGGGAGGAAGGGGGGGGGGGGAGTCAAAGCAGGAGATGGAGCATACTGGTGGGCCTATGTAAATCAGACGCAGACCTGGCTTGTTTCAAACTAAAACAAAATTAAATCTGTTTTTTATGAGAAATCGTGAGAACTAAAATCTAGCAGTCTGACACGATGAAAATCTGGGGTTCATATAACTTCACAGTGCTGGATTGAGGGCTTCCTTTGAGATCACACACACCCACTGACACACAAACACACACATGTCATCACTTGCTTAAAGGGAAGTGGATGGAGATGCGTCTGTGCCTATAAAGAGGTGATTATGGCGGTGAGGTGGTGAATATACAGCCCAGAGTGGTAGAGATGGAAGCACCTGATCCAGCATCGAGGGCTCAACACACTTGACCCTGCAGCAGTACAATCTAGCAATCCTAGTTTAACCCCCCCGGGGTACGTGTGTGGTGCGCGTGTGCGTGTGTGGGGTAAAGGGGGGTGTTAAGGAAGGAGAACATTTGGAACAAGAGTATTCCCCAGAGCCCCATGGGAGGAAATCCTGCCGCGCGTACCTGAACAGACAGACACCTGGATAACAAGGACGACTCCCCAATGTCATCAGTCACACGACCAGAACGCCCTTGGCTGAGGACACAACGCGTGGTGGAATAACACACAACACGTGGTGCAATGAAACACAACATGGTTAGTCTGCGGCGTTACGTTCACATTAACGCTGCTAATCTGGTGACGTCATTCTCCTCTCGTCGTATCCGCTGGTTGGACGGTGGTCCTACATAACGTTGGGGGGGGGGGGGGGGGGCCAGGTGCAGTTGTTTTTTTCCCCCCCAGGGGGGGAATTGTTATAAGCAGGGCTCTCTTATACAACGGAGGCGCCCCGCGCGGTATATATTTTCCCCCCGAAAAGGGCCCCCATTTTAATTTTGGGGACCCTCTCCCCCCCCCCCTTTTTTTTCGCGCGTGGCGGCGGGTGTGTTGCCCCTTTTTTATAGCCCTGGGGGGGGGGGGGGGGGGGGGTTAGGCCTTGGGGCGGGGGTCCGTGCGTTTTGACAAACCATGCTGTTAAAGATATAATAGCAGCATAATCACCGCCGCAGGCCGTCATTCTTCGGGATAATGGGCTGCTTATTCATTGGGGATGGTTTATGTCTCCGCGCGGCTTTTTTTTATTTTTCACTACGTTGTTCTTTTTTTGGTCTCCTTTCCTCGCGGACATCCCCGTGCAAATCTCATTCATTTTAACAGTACGCTTTTAAAAAAAAAATCTGATAATTTCCCTCTTCTTCCTATTCGTGTTTGGTCTGTTATTTTCTTTCGTGCTGCTTTTTCCTCTCACCATTAAACCTTTTCCCGCATAATCTCATTTTTGAGCCTTCACTGTAAAACCTGAGCTATATTTAGCTTGCCTTTACTTTACCTTTTTAAAAGAGTAAATGTTTGTTCATGCACCTGACCAATACGTTTTACAGTTTGTGTATACTAATTTCCTTTCATGTCAGGTGCATCTGTTCACCACCATGTCAGCATTTTCTTATTACCTCAAACTGTATAAATATGCAGCACATATTTTATTACGACATACTTATAAAGATCTCCAAGCAATGTTTTTATTAGCAATTATTTTACAACAATACTAGTTCAAGTCTACATTGTTAGGGAGAGATAAAGGAAACAACACTGCTGATGGTCCACTCTCTTCTCAACCATTATAAATCTATCTATCGATGGACCAGTTGGACAGAGACAGGAGGCTCGTTAGAATAATAGCAACAACAGAACTCAAATACGTCAAGACAGCAGCACACAGAGGACTCGAGTCAATTCACTGAAACCGGTGTGCTCAGTGAATACAATCTTACACTTTGACAGCTAAATGAATTTTATCTGAGACAGAGTCCATTATCAATTATACAACATATTAGGAACTTTACAATTACATTACCAGTAAACATTAATAGATAGACTTTTTATATTTTACATATTAAAATAATGTGCATTTTTTTCCGGCTTCCAAAACACATTAACAGAAAACATCAGAGATGTGTGTAATTTTCCTCAAGTGCTATCAGTCAGTCCGACTTTCGGGGGAAAGCTGCATGTTTCCCCAAGAGAATATTAAGGCGAGAATAAACGTTGAGAAAACATGGATCACTACATTTATCCAAACGTCCCAATTCTTTTTTTTTTCTTTTGTTTTCAAATAAAATTGTTCAACTAATGGTAAAGTGAATCATTTTGCTAACTTAATTGGTTGTATCCTCGGTCTTAAATGTTATGCATGTTCATAATTTCATTTGCACCAGCTCCTTCAGCCCGGGGCAAAATGTAATTAAAGGCTTAGAGAATTTAGTAACTGAAATCATTTCCTCATTATCAAGCCAACCTCTGTACAAACTGTTATATTACTGGCCATTAAACTGGTAAATTAGCCACTTTTAATTATGCTATTAAGGGCCACATGGCTTGAAGTTTATTTTTTATTTATGCTGTTATGTAGTACATGCTATGTACATAACCACGCAGCTTAATTGAAAGGAAAGGGGGGCCGTGACACAAAGGGTCTCTTTGTTGCAGGCGTGATACGCTCTTTCTCCGGGAACAACCAGTCCAATTCCTTCAAAAGTGCCTCATTTATTCACATTATTATCGAGTGCATCAATCATCCACTGCGTAAATCAGAGATTATTGTTGACATTTTTAAAGAATGTTTTTTTGAAGGTGCATTGTGTGTCTGTTACAACATCATCATAAGAGTCGGGAATACTTTAACCGTCCTCTGAGTTTTTCAT